ACCGGATCACATCATAGATTGTTAAGGAAGAACTGCACAACCGAGGAAACAGCAGTATAATGTACTTCACAGTTGTTACTTCCTAGTATGAATCTTCTCACCAATGCACATTTATGACTCCACATCCAGTGGTCTAGGTAAGACGAACCCATGATTTAAACTGTGAAAATCAATTAGTCAAAATTGATAATATTTACGCTTCCGCATTGGTTTCATTCGATGAAGATAATAGTGATATGGATATTAGGTAAATATCGTATGTATTTGTTTGATGTCAAAGAATAGTGAAAGGAAATGAAGTTGCTTCACTGAACTACAGGCTTCTTGATTGCAATTTTGTCGATTGAAATCTGTCTACTCACTCTACTTATTGATAAGTAAAAATTTAGTTCGCACATCTGAGTCGTAACTGCGGGTTATTCTGAATTCAAATAACTTAGTATGAACACTTCTGATAGTAAAACTGTGTGACACGAATCTGCATACCTCAGGAAAGAATATACCTGATCTATTGACTTTACAGTTACTTTGACGATGTATACAGATGATAATAATTAACGATACATCATTAGTGGTCAGGGTTTGAATCGCTCCGCTGTTGATATTCTGGGCTGGACTTGGGTGAGTTTTTGTCTGTATGTAAGGCGTTGGTTCGGACTACTTCTAAACAAAATAGATGGATTGTGACTACCACTGGGATCCAGAACATGGGTTTCGTTACGCCAACCAGAAAAATCACTTCAACCATTTAAAATCTATTAGTGGCCTGATGTTTGACTCAAATAGAATCGTATGATTGATTGCTGCCCAAATATATATATCATCAACCCTAGTATATAGTTAACGGCTTACCTCGCGTTACTTAACAACTGAATAAGAGAAGTCAAATACGAGACAGGATTTCGAATACATGTATTTTGTACAATCATCAGTCTGGATAGACAATCAGAGGAACGAGCAAAGAGAAGAGAAGAGAGCAAAATGACGTGCAGTGGAGAAGGCCTGTTCAGAAGCTCGAATAAGTTATATGGGTTAACCATTGTTACCGACACTGCACTCTGCCTTGGAAATTGAGCAATCTTCATTTAGAAACTTTATGACGCCTCATGGTGAAAGCTAACACGTTTTGGAATTCATGAGGCCGACGTTCGTTCTAACAAACAGACCTTACCACAAAAAACAGGGTAAATAGAATTTGCACTTAGAAAAAATTCTCAACATTCATGGAGGATGAAAGAACAAAGCAAACAGCTGACATAGCTTTAGATGAAACGTAGGACAACTGTGAAAACGGCATTACAGAGGATAATACTTTCGGTCTTTGAAATACTAGAGCTGAAGAATTTCTGGACAACCCAAGAAACAGCAGAAACTCGATACAGCTTTCCTTCGGGATACTTACAAATATAACGTGGCTATCAACAACAGGTTCCAAGATTTAGAGGATCTACTCGAAGAAGGAGATACTACTATGAATAGCAACTGGAAAAGGATCATTGAAGTACTAACTTCAACGTGTCAGAGAATTCTGGGCCACAAGATGCATCATCATAAGGAATGTATATTTACTGAAACCTTGGTAAGGATTCGAGAAAGAAAAACAAAAGATACCGAATAACAACGGCTGAACAAGAGCAAAGAAAGTCGAGGCACAGACGGAATATACCGAAGCAAATAAGCAAGTGAAGAGAAGCGTTGGAACTGACGAGCAGAAATATGTGTAAGACGTAGTGATGACAGTAGGAAAAGCTGAAAGAGAGACAAATATGTAACAGCTGTATGACACACAATAGAGAAACTAGCAAAGAGTCATGGCAAGGGCAAGTCAGTCACTGAGATTTGAGAACAGAGGATTAGCAGGGTAGAACATTCTGAGGTGTAGACCAGCTCCATTGAATTTACCGGACAACGAAGCAGCACTCACAGACCTTCTCATAGATGTAATATACACCAACCAATCTATTTTAAAACATCTAGTATAGCATCAGCCTCTTCAGTAATAATCCTCAACGTTCGCAAAGGAAAGTCCTAGATTCTCAAATAAAACACGGGGAACATCAAACAACAAAACTTGATAGATAAAGGTTGAAAGAATTGGGGACTATCACGTATCTGGGACGTGTCATTTATTAACAAAGAGGATCTGATGCACACATAAAAGTAAGGATTGGCAAACCAAGGGTTGAATTCCTACAGATGAAGTACATATAGTACTCACAACAGCTGTCAACGATATCAAATTCAGAATCTTCAATACGAACATCAAGACAATTCTACTGTACGGAGCTAGAACTAGGAGAACTACGGGAATGACAATAAAAAGGGTAAAAATATTTATAAACAATCGTCTACGAAAGATACTCAATATCCGTCGAACAATCATCATCATCCTCCTCATCATCAAAAACCTATTATGGTAAAGAACAAACTAGGTTCTAGCTGAAGAGAAAATTCAAAAAAGTTTCTGGTGGTAGGTTATATATATACTGCAGAAATCATGAAGCTGAATGACGAGTGTTAACATATGTAAGTAAGTAGATATATAAAAAGCAACGAAATCCAGGCAAACTATATTGAATAGAAGACTCAGTCCAATCTTTAAACCGTAATCTCTAATTATACAAACGAGATCAAAATGGGGTACTCAATAATGTAATATTTAAAGAATTCGACTTTGTCAAAGAATAAGGTTGTATGCTATAAGCAAATATAATTTTGTAAAAAATCAAAGAATAACAAAGAGAATTTATAACAAACGTTCAGATGACAGCGAAGGTCACTGTGGTAACATGAATCAATTGTGTTTGACAGCCTTCTTATTCATTGGAACAACAATTTATTGACTACGTAAAATAAACAAGTTTCAAATTCCCCTCTCCCTATAAAGGTAAACTAGACGGCGTCTATGTTTGTAAAATGTATGCATTGTTTTATGGTATTCGTTTTTAAATCTTGATGAAGGAGTCAATAGAAGGTTAGTTTTTTAAACCAATGTTTCGTTTATGATCTATACATGAACTGGAATTAGCAAATCATTGAAAGAGCTGAGTACTACTTTCAGTATAGTATCGGGGTTTGAGGCAGTGCACATCCAAAACCTCACCAGGAATCCAACCTGGTACTTTCAAATCTCGTGGTAAGAGCTTAAACTACAGACATCCGAGTTGGGATGCGAGGCAATAAAGATATCATGCAACGACCATTTATTGCCTTTGGTGGTTTTCTACATCACACTTGACATTGCTCTTCTCTAAAGCTCGAGAAGTTACCTCCTAATGTTTGTCACTGACTTTCAGATGATGAGGTGATGGTGTTGATGATGGTCGAGACTGCTAATTGTTATAGGTTTTAAATCTAATTGAAAAAAAGATTTCTAGTGTGATCTTTTATAACTATATATGATAACAATTTCGATTAACTTTTACGTAACAATGTATATGATTTTTAGATATAGAACGTCCAAGTGTTTAGCTAAACACTTTACATCATTATTAAAGTATGTTAATTATTCCATTGTTTAAAATCTTGGTTTTGAATGGTGCTTTTACACTGATCGTTTCATGATTTCCATGAAACACAGAATTCTCACAAACCTTCCAACTGATAACTATCATGTGCTCATTGCCAACTGGCTTTGAGAAGTAACTCTCGTAGTTCTAGTGAGACGCCGTGACCAATGGAGATAAACAGTGTTGGGTGTGATGTAGGTATTCACCGGAGACGATGGAAGATGGTCGCACAATATCGTGAATATGCTGAATTTGTCGAATAATACTGTTGTGTGCTGTCTCGGTGGTCGAGATTTTAAGCATCTGAGCGTGACGTAAGGTCGTGGATTGGCGTCCCGTGTGCGGAGTCGTGAATGAGCACTGCCAAGTCACATGAAAGCTCAAAATAGCCGCTTTTTGTTAAATAAACTGGCGTGTTGTAAAGGAAATCTGCTCTCAATGCAAGAGATTTTGCTAATTAACCATTAAAATTATCCATATGTGACTGAAAATTAGAAAGTTCGTTTTAATTGAACTGTACTTAGAATCCTTGAAACAACATTTGTAGAGGTTCAATTTAATGTACTCACACCTTTCAACCGTTAGTGTTATGGACTGAAATCGGTTCATATCCTTTGGTATATGTATCTCATATGAGGATTCTTCAAAAAGAGCCATATGTAAATCGTTACTGAAGTGGCCAGCGCTGGATACCAGAATACTGGCTTCGTCCAATGTGGAAATCATTAGTTGATAGTACCTACACCTTTATATTGTGTTGGAGTTTCGGTGTAAATATCAACACCGAGGTGCAATTATATACAGTTGAGTTTCAAATAAAAAAGAACGTGGGGTTCAGGATACTACTGATGATCACTGTTTCAATTTTTTGATAGGCTGTATAGCGCATTGTAAAAGTACGTGTATAATTCAATGCTGAATACTCAAATACAATCTTCAACTGGCTCTGTTTTCTTTCGGACAATGCTTGAATATGTAACAACCTTTGAGATGAATTCAGTTAAGCAGAAATCAATCAATATCATGTCTCTATAATACCTATAAATTAAGACTAAAATCGATTCTTTCCTCCAAAACACTTATCATGAAATATAGTTGTAAAAAAAGCCCATGAATAGCTTTTTTAACGAAATGCTGATGTCAGATATGTCTTTATTTCTAATAATCTAATTGTAGTTGATTAATTAAGAACGTGGTAAATTTGAATGCAGCGGCGATAGGCGATGTTGGGATCATTCGTATGTTATTAGAAAATACTGACGAATCAACTGACTTCAATGTAAATTGTGTTGATAATATGGGACATAATGGATTACACATCTTGCTGTCGATTCAGGAAATACTCAGGTAATGAAATTATTATTAGACAAATTAAAGTTTGAATGTATCGAACAAGCTTGACTACATGCTATCAGTAAAGGACATCCTGAACTAGTACGTGTTATTATTGAACATCCAAATGATCAGGCTGATGAACATCAAATTAAATGAATGGATTCAAGCAATGCATTTTCACCTGATTTAACGCCAATAATTCAATCAGTTCATTATAATAATCATGAGATGATACAAATATTCTTATCACGTAATCATACAATTGACAAACCACATTCGATATCATGTCAATGGAATGGTTGTCAAGTTAGACAAGATTACGATTCATTGAAACGTTCACGTTCTAGGCTAAATGTTTACCGTGCCTTAGCAAGTCCAGTTTATCTGGCATTAAACAGTGCTGATCCAATAATGACAATATTTCATCTACGTCAACAAATTATGAAATAAGTAGCAATTGAAAAGAGAATTTAGGGTAAGTACACTAACAATCAGTTGTGTGAAATATCTCAAATATTCTTTAACTAAGTTGTTTTGATGTGAGTCTATTTCGTGGACTAATATAACTTTGTGAAATTAAAAATAATTCAGTATGTGATATCTGTTTCATCTTTATTTTCAACTGTTCGACAGTGCTAACTCATAAACACATGTGTTATAGAATCTAGTCGATCATGAAACGTCTGACAAAATACGTTCCGGTCCACTGACCAAGATATTAAATCCGCTGAACAGGTGAAGTCAAGATACAAAGCTTATAAGTATTGACTATCTAATCTTTTAAGTCTAAACAGCTATTCACAGATTTCTGGTATTTGATGATATTTTACAGCTGATGTCTGTCTATGATGTAACAAAATTTATGTTGAATAATCCAGGATCCGCAAATATCAACACATTATGCTGAATAATATCAACAGAACCTCATCTTTTCACTAATTAAGGTCTTTTATTAGAGTGTATACTAATAATTTAAGTAAATATCTTGAGATTTTGATAAACGGATTCGGAGTTATAAACAAAAAAGTTCACCTAAACATACCAGTGAAAATGATCTGTCACAATGGAAATCTAAATTGTTTTCTTAGTAACTGAGAGTCAAATTTGTTTAAAGAAGTAAGCCCAACATCAGTTTCGTGAGTCATCCCTCATAAATTTAATATCTGGCGGGCTGCATGAATATCTGGGCTACCTGTTTCTGCCATCTGATTATTTCAACAAGTTATCTGTTTTTCATTTGTTTTAATTTATAATTATGTCCATTAATCGCATAACCTATTCAGGCGCTTTTATGAAAAGCCTACGACCTTTCGCTGCACAAGTTACGAAAAAGTACTATAAAAGGCATCGTGGTGGTTGGCAATATGCGTTAAAGAGAATGAACATTAATCGTATGTCGATTCCCGAGCTACTAAATTCTAACTGCCGATCACTAATCAACAAAGTGGACTATCTGCAATTCCTGCTTAGTCAAAATACGTATCGTAATTGTGGTGTCATCACAATTCAAGAATCTTGGTTGAATGATTTACAGGATGACTGCCTTGTATCACTACATGATTTCAAAATTTATCGTCAGGATCGATCGAACAATAAAAAGAGGTGTGGTGGCGGTGTAGCTACGTTTGTAAACATAAACTGGTGTCGATCTTCGTTTGTGTGTTTTAAGTTTTCAAATGACTTTATCGACTGTCTAACTCTAAGATGTCGTCCAAAACATCTGAATAAATACAAATATGTTTATGTTACCAATATCTACGTCACTCCAGATTGCACATCATCTGCACTATCTGTTTTTGCTGATGAATTCACTGAGTTCGCTGTTACTGCCTTCAGTGATTCACTTTCAGTTGTATGTGGTGATTTCAATTCATGTGACTGTAGCTTCCTTACGTCACTAGGTCACCAAAATGTAGTGGATTTTCCTACCCGTTTGGATGCTCATCTAGACTTCGTCTTCATTAATGATGTGGGTATATATGCGACTCGTAAACGTGCTCCATTGTCTAGCTCAGATCACTGTATAATTCGTGTTCTACCTAAAGTATATGGAAAGCATGGGAAGAGTACACTCTTACATCAAACCAAGAAAGTCAAATATAGGAATTACTCAGAAGAAAATATCCGAAATCTGAAAAACATGTTTCATACGACTAACTGGGAATTATTTACAGATGACTCACTCGAAAACACTACTGATGTTATCACTTGTTACCTTAAATTCTGTTTTGATATTTGTTGTCCCACTGAAACCATTTTTGTAAGTTTTGATCGACTTACATCTTCACAACTAAAACGACTACGGAGGATGAAAGAAAGAATGTACAAGGAGAAGAACTCAAATGAAGTTCGTAAGCTAAATGGTCTGATAAACCTAGAGATTAGACGTCTCAACTGTATGTTTACTCAAAAACTCTTATCTTGCAAAAACTCTCCAAGTATGTGGAAATTCTTTAAAGAACTTACAGGTGACAGAAAGTTTAGAAGCGATAACCAGCTGAATGTTTGTGACTTAAATAAGTCTTTTGTACGTCAGTCATCTGATGTGATGCTCCCTCTATCCACGGGTTTAAAAAATAGCTGTGTTCCTACTTTCACTGAAACTGATGTACGAGGATGTCTCCAGTCGCTTAATTCATCTCGATGTTTGGGACCTGATGGTATCCCAAACATCCTTTTTAAAAAATGTGCTGACGTTCTGTGTCATCCGTTCACAACTATATTTAACAGATCCTTCTCATCTAATCTCATACCGAAAATGTGGAGAAAGATGAAGATAATTCCTGTACCCAAGAAAGCATTTGGTGATAAGAATGTAAAATTTAGACCTATTGCAATAACTTCACCCTTCCTCAAAACCATGGAAAAATTATTAATACTTCCACTTCAGCCTGCGATAAAAGAGCATACTGACCCATACCAGTTTGCATACAGGCGCAAAAGAAGCACTTTAGATGCTGTTGCAGTTCTGCATCACAACATAGTGTTGAACTTAAAAAAGGGTGCAGCGTGGTGTCGAGTTGAGGTTAACTATGAACACCGCTACCAAGAAAGCACGTGCCAAGTAAATCAGAAGGCGAAGGTTTAAAGCAACCAAATAAATCCATAAAATCTCCGAGAAGCCAAATATCAGAAGGCAATTAATGGACCAAATCGAGATATATTCGCTGGCGATCTCGTGGCATCGAAAGGATACCGAGATCGTGCCAGGATACAAGCTTGGTTACAGAACGTAACCGAATTCGCGCGAAGTCACAATCAAAAGTGTAAGAATCAGAATGGAAGCACAAAATAGCTGTCATTAGCACAGTCAAACAAAAGCACATTAAAACAAACACTGGTACAGTTGGTTATAATAATAATTGTTTTTATTAAACCAGTTGTGTTCTCGTGATAAATGTGAGTCACTACAAGGGTAAGAATTAGGTTCGATGTGCTTTTCTGGACTATACTTCAGCTTTTGACTCTATACCAATACAACGTTTACTTAACAAGTCAATCAGCGTCAACACTGACAGCTGGATAACCAACTGGCTATGTTCCTACCTCTCTGGAAGGGAACAGTACACTGTATTTGGAGGAAAGAGTTCAGATTCTCTACTGTCTCATGAAGGTGTACCACAAGGAGCTGTTCTTTCTCCTCTTCTATTCTCTTTTTTTCTGCATGACCTGCCATCTTCCACAGAAAACACTTTTGTGAAGTATGCGGATGACCTCACTGTATGTATGCCTATATTTTCCTCTTTACATCGCATAGAAATGAATGAGTTTTTGTCTCGTATCGATTGTTGGTCTGTTGGTAATGGTCTCATACTTAATCCGTCTAAATGTCAAGCTGTTAACTTTAGCATGAGACATAAACGGAATATAAACACTATTTTGAGATCCCATAGTGCTTGTACCACCGGAGACTCTTTGATAAACTCAGTGTCGAAGGTCAATTATCTTGGTGTCACCTTTTCCTCTGATCTCTCTTGGTCTTCCCACGTTTTATCGTTATCAAAGAAGGTTTTCCGTCTGACCTACTACATAAAGAGATTGCGTGCTCTTGTGATTACTCGTAATTCACTCTTACAATTTGTCAATTCTTGCATATTACCTATTATTCTTTACTGTTCTCCATTATTCTCTCCCGGGCTTTTGAGAAAAGACTTTGCTGTATTGCGAAGAGTGCTGAAAGCTGTTAGCAAGACGTGTGGTGAATCTTTCGAGGTCCTAAATAATATGGTTGTGGATAGACATTTAAAATCATGCAAACTCGTGGCAGGTGTTATTTTATCAGATACTAACCATCTCCTTCACTCTTATCTTTCTTCTTGTATATCTTCTTGTAAAACGAGACGTAATTACACTAAAATCCATTCACGCAAGCAAAAGTATAAAAGTTCTATAATACCTTACCTAGCAAATATACTCTGTGACGAACAGGTTGTTAGAGTTAACCTAGTCAATAACCTGCATTCTCAACATGTCTAATTTGAAAAGTTGTACAGTATTCCACTTTTTTAAAACTTTTTTCTCTTTTTTTACCCTTGTTTCTGTTTATCTTGGCGTAAGTAACTTGTTGAAATACCCTGTGCTGAGAATTATACATTGTACCAAAATATAATATTGAATAAAGCCATTATTAATAATAAATAATAATAATATCAAATTTGAACCCTAAGTGCCTTCAAAGGCACTTAGCACGAGACTCAGGACTTAGGTTTTCATGTTAATGATTGCCTATCACCAAAATGTCATTGCAATGTTAAGTGATAATTCTCATGAGATTTAAATCCACAACACTGAGTATTATAGTTAAATTCATTGCCGAAGCATTACTCATCTTTTAACTAATTGAACCAGCATTTTGCTATAACTTCCTTGACGTACTGGCACAAGGCTGTTATTTTCCGAGATAATAAGACAGAGAAAGTGACACAGCAACTAACCCAAAATATCACGAATTGACTAAAGTTGTAAATGTAAATTAGGGATTTCTGACAAAATGTCTTATAGATCAGAATGAAAAATGAAAATTGTAAGTTCAGCTCAATTTGGCCATATGGGTAAACAGTGTTGAAAATTTATCTGGTGAAAGGCATTTATACTGTGTTAAAACGGTCTATTAGTCCAACCTTTTCTATATCTTCAAGGTGATAATTTCTGCTTACTGCAACAGCTGGAGTAGTTTATTACGAATACTTCTCCTAAAAGAGCAAACTCCTACTCCACAAAAAGCGATTGTGTAAGAAGAATATTGAAATGTGAGTTGTTGACAAATTTCCATTGCAGATAGTTCAACGATGATGAAATTGGCATTTGATTATGTGTTACCGGTAACCAGTGAGGATGCATCTAAGTGCAGGAGAGTGAAGATTATTCTTTCATTATTTGTCCGTTAGTTGAGCGATTCAACTTTTAGACTAATGGTAATTTGATGATACTACATTTTCCCTATTCACTTG